GCCTTGGCCCCACACTTTCTATTGCACACTGTGACCCAGGAAACCAATGAAGCTCGACTGATTTTAAACTTCCAGACCAACAGTGAAATAGGCTAAATGGTTTAGGGATGTTTTTTTTTTCTTGATCAGCAAAGTAAACTATGTGCCCTACCTCATTTCTTTAAGTGTTAAACTGATATTAAATCATGTGCTGATGCAAAGGATGGGATAAAAAAGAGATTGATGTTTTGACTCAAGTACAACCACTTATATGAGCCCACCAGTTAAGGTTAAGGACTATGACTATTAGTGCCAAATGAGTACATGCAACCGTCTCAATGGATCTTTAAGAGACACTGCAGCCGCTTGCTTTCAAATCATTTATCAGACAACTTGTACTGAAGGTCAGACATCAAGGAGATTAATATACTGTGGTAGAGCAATGGCTCCTCTGTCTGTTTTCAGACCAACATCAAAAAGAACAAATTATTTTATATGTGCATATTTGTTCATCTTTAGCAATAGTAAAATATTTTATCAACCATTGGATTTTAACAGAAAGGAAGAAGCGGATAAAGATAATGGATTGATAGATAAATTAGAAGTTATTTAAAATATGAGCATCTTAACGTTTGGAGTCGGTCTGATTCGTTATGGCCAGTAAATTAAAATCAAAGCAGTTGTAACTCAGTCAGTTTTACCGATATTAATTCTAGAAAAAAAATTCTAGAATTGCGCCGCTCAAGGTGGCTGCAAGTTTGAGCAGCTCTGTCACATTCATTCTGAGATATTGCTTTTGGAAACTTTAATTCTTCTTTTTTCTGGATGTATATCACTTTTTTCGGATGATTATTTCCTCTGGTATCGGATGCAGTGCAGCTGGAAGGATTTTAACTGAACCCTTTTTACTTTTGGGCATTTGTTACGATGCGTAACCATGACAACAAGGTGTTTATTTTCAACAACCAGGAGCTGCTGATTAACATCTCAAAAGCTGAAATACCTCAACTACAGCATCAAATCACAAATGAGTTGAAAAGGAGACTCCATGGACAAATTCCTGTCAACCTGATGGTGGTGCTCGAGTGCTTGACTGCAGAGATTCTGGAGCTGGTGGGAAACTCGGCTCGTGACATCAGGAGGACCGGGATCTTCCCCCGGCACTTTCAGCTGTCTGTCCGTGGCGACGAGGAGCTCGGCGGACTGCTGGGAGGAGTGACCATTGTTCAGGGAGGAATTCTGCCCAGCATTCGGGTGGCCCTGCTGCCCAGGAGGACCCAGAGGCCAGCCGGATCTGACAGCAAGCTGGATCTGGGTGGACGGATCAGTATCTGTGGCCAGATTATTTGTATTCGCTGCAGGAGATCCTTCCTTCCCACAGCTGATCAGCTGCAGCAGGAAGTTTATCCTGCAGCTTGGTCTGCACAAAGGTGCAGGAGGTGCTAAATAATTTTAAATAAAAATTCCATGCCCATCGTGCAGCTCATCCATCAATCAGCCAATTGTGAGTCATCTTATTTTGAAAAACCGCCACAGAGCGAGTCCGCAATAAACAAACTGCGAAGAAGCGAGAGACTACTGTATCATTATTATTATTACATCTCAAAATCATATTTTCGGAATCCGATCTTTATTCTCACAATTATTATTATTTTTTAGCTGAAGAGCAATTATTTCAGCGTTTTTATAAATGATTTTTTTACTGATCATGCTACTACCTGTGCCCATAATGAAATCTTTAATGCAAGCATTGTACACCAAATTAGACTTGTATAATTAAAATTGAACACAAATAATGGAAATGTGAGAATGATTTACGCAGCACAGAACATAAATCTCAAAATTCAATAATCATACTCATTTTCTCCATTTTTGACAAATTCACATGAAACATTAACCCTTATTAATTATTGTAACTGATTTAAGACACTAATTGCTGCACCAGCAGGGTGTTGTATACAACAAAATAATGTTTTTTTTTAATATCCTCCTGCTGTTATGAAGGCGTGTAAAATGTGCAGTTCAGTACTAAGCATGAGAATAAACAGGCAGCAGAGCACGCATGACACTGAATCCCTCTGCCTGCTGCAGGAGAGAGCCAGACAGATAAGGGCAGAGACAGGAAGAGCCAAGAAAAGACAGAATATCAAATTTCACAGTGTCTGCCTGTTTTTTTTTCTGTCTGGCTGTGGGAGAGGAGTATTTATAAAAGGTCAGAACATCAAATATGCTGTGGTATGACTTTCAGTGAGTTTATTCCATTCATTACTTTGCTTGTCAACACAAACGCATCAGATCTGAGCTGTGTGGGAGGTTGACATCATTAAATTGCACCTGTGCATCATCCCAACATGATCTATTTGTGAATTTTGATTAATGCATCATTCTTTTCTTATCTTTTAAGTAAACTAGCTTCGTTTGGCAGCTTCCTTTTGCAGGTTGCCACAGCAAATTAGCTTGAAACATTTGGCCCTTCCTAACGAAACCTGGGCTTGAACCTGCAGCCCCAAGATTACAAGGCCATGGCACTTAACCACTGAGCTACCAGAGCACCTTTAGATGGGTAAACTACGGTGGCCCTAAGGTGCAAATGAACAACAAACAGGATTGAAGAAATTCAGAAAATGTTTGACAAACAAAAACTCTAATGATTGCAACATCACTGACTTCTTATACATCAAGAAGACACTTTAAAAAGGTACCGCACTTGTTGCCGTATAGGTCGCACCTTTTATGCGTCACCGCCGACCACCCAGAAACGTGGGCCGGTGTTGTGCCAAAAATCGATCGGCTGCCAATTGGCGGCCGCGGGAGCGTGCATGGGAGGACTTTAACAATAATTTCACAAGATTAACACTTAAAAACAATTATTTGTTTGCTCGATATTATAGCAAAGGTGTGTCTCAGTTGAATTTTTCCTTAATAAATGCACTTTGACAGTCAAATCAGCTGCAGTTCACCTGGGCGGTGAACTGCAGCTGATTTGATGTTTGCTTGAGGAGTTCCGGAGCGAGACGAAGGTGGCTTTGTATGGCAAGCCAAGTGTCTCATTAATAGCCACTTTAACCTATTAATGAGATACTTGGCTTGCCATATTACTCGAGCCCCCTCTAGTGGCTGAAAATGGTAGTGTTCAATATTTTCCATGTCAGAATGAATGAAATCGTCAGATCTCGGCCAAATATTGTGTTATAAATATGGGGAAAACATAAATAAGTCACTTTTCTGTATAAGTCACAGGACATGCTAATTTATGCAAAAGAAAGTGAGACAAACAGCAAAGAGATTGGTAAATGTTTCATCTACGACTGATTGACAATTGGAGTTACCAAATTCAAGAAGACTGCTACAGCTACGTTTGTCACACAAAAAATACTCTAATTTAATCAAATTAAAGATGAGGTCAAATTTAAATCATAGCAGCTAGGAGCCATCTTTACCACATCTTCAAAGATGTGCCTGTGGCAGCCATTGTGAATTATAACTGTGTGAAAGGCAGCAGGCTAGAAAACTATATTTAAATGTTGTCATGTTTCTAACAGAAAAAGAGATAGCTAAACTGTCAGCTCAGCTACTACACAGAATATTACTCAAAACTTGCTTCCTAAAAATGTATTTTTTTTGTACATCTCAGCATTTTACACCCGTCAGCTGTGTTTATTGTGCAATATTTATTTTTATTTAACAAATTGGAAAGATTTTAGCTTTACCATACAGGCATTTGGTGTCTTAATCATGCAGAGAAGAACTTGTTAGTATTTACTACACATTGAGGATACGTATCTATTAAGAGGAAAGCATTGTGCTGAAAAACATAAAAGCTAAAATAATACATAAATGAAAACAATAAATATGGAAATCAGAATATTTTTGTGTTTATGAGTTCCTGTGGGTGTAAAAATGTATTCCATACAACATCTTATTGCACATTTTTCTTGGGGCATTAGCTCAAGCTTATGTGTGTTTGCATTTTTAAGTATTTGTATGTGGGTGTTTGTATTGCAGAAATATATGTGTTCCAGCAGCACTTAACAACTTGTACTTTTCATGTCCTCAAGGTTGAAACATCAACGGTCAAGAAATGTCAAACTCCACAACCACTGGTTAAGCCAGCAGCCTTAAGCCAGGCATATTTCTAAACTGAAAAAAAAATGTTTAAACAATTTAAGCAGAATAAATGATAAAATCGAACATAAACTAAAACACGCAGTACGAAACAAAAGCAAAAACTAGTAATCTGCTTTAGATTTTTATAAGTTATGGCTATAAACTTGTTAAAAACTAAATAAAAATCATCTAATAAAGTTCAGTCAGGTCATCTGGATGGTTTCTTTTTTTGTTGAGATGTTTTGTCCTTCATCCAAAGGACTTCATCAGTCCGAGGAGCTACAACAATCTCAGTCCCACAAGCAGCACACTCATAGTGGACCGTTTGCGGGTGATGAGATGGTTTCTGGGGCCTGCCCTCTCCCCCCGTCAACTCCTCTGATGCAGGCACAGCCAAAGTGGTTTAAAACACCAAAGTTCATGCTCAATAATCCAGGTGAAAAATCCAACAAAGTTCAGTCAGGTCATCTGGACTTATCACCATCAAACTGGTTGGTCCACTATGCAAGTGTGGGACTGCGTTTGTTGTGGCTCCTCAGACTGATGAAGTCCTTTGGATGAAGGACGAAACTCACTCGCACCTAGAGATATTTTAGTTCCCAGCTAACCCCACCTGCACATTTTATATCCGAGGGAGAAAACACCCAAGTGCACGGGGGCAACATGCAAACACCACACAGAAAAGCCCCAGGATGAGAGGTGATATTGTGACCATCCTGCTGCGCAGCTCCAACCACTGTTCCACCGTTCCACATTAAAAACTTTTAAGTAGTGTATACTATAGATCGCCACCTGTATGTGAACAGGGCCAGAGGGAAATACCCCCACACACATTGTTATATATCTAATGTAGAAGGTATGTTCATAGTAAAACAATCAACATGTGAAGTACTAAATTGTTCCAGGAAGCCTACCTGTGACCAGTTCTTTGATTTCCACGTCCCCCGTCTTCCTCAGCAGACGGACCAAGGCGGGAATCCCCCCACAGTTCTTCAGGGTCACCTTGTTTTCGTCGTTGGCCTTGCCGTAGACCAGATTCCTCAAGGCCCCGCAGGCGCTGCGGTGAACCTCGCTCATCCTGTGGTCCAGCAGATCAACCAGCAGCTGGATGCCTCCCTGTCGACGAATCTGGGCATCAAAGAAACAGATTCGAGCATAAACATTAATAAACAGTCGGTAAAGATCCATACTCATGAAAAAAATAGAGTTTTTTTTTTTAAATCTGCAACACTTAAAATGATTTTTGGAGTTATTAGAGGCAGTGCTGGTAGTAAAAGGTTTATATATCTATATTTTCAGGTAGTTCCAGTGTGTGGACAAACTGCATACGTCTGTAGCTTCCAGTATCTGTCAATCAGATCAACAACCCAATGTGGGCTAACTAAACATCTCATGACACGGTTAACAGCTGTGTTTTCACCCAAAAAATCCTAATTACACTGATGAGGGAAAGGAAAGTGGTAGTAAGCTAACAGAGAATTCAAGCACATATGGATGGACATCACAATGGACAGTATGGAGAGAATAACTGCAGAAGTAAACGATGAAAAGGACCAATTTATTCCAGGCTGGAAAAATGGATGGTTTATATAAAGTCACGTAGAACAGATATAGACCTGGCAATTTATGAATGATATTGACTGTAACAAAAACCACTTTCACTTCCTTTGTATTAGTGGTTTTTTTTATTAGGTTTTTTTGTTTGAATTTTGTCCTTGTTTTTAATTTATTTTCTTGTTAAAAAAAAAAAAAAATTGATACTCCACTAATAATTGAAGTATTAAACGTTAATTATGTTAAATATATTTATAAATGTCAATTAAAAAAAGTATACATTAAAAAATTAAAAAATCAAATGACATCTCCTGCGTCTGCTATCCTTGTTTTCATTAAATTTCTTTCGCATGCCTGTTTCTCCTGTCTTAATAGTTGTAATTTCTCACATCAAATGTTTTTAATTAGTCACATTTACTCAGATAATCCTGAAAAATCTTAGGCATCATGATAGAATAAAAAAAAACATCTCATTCTTGCCATGTCTTAAGATTTGACTGACTTTACTAAAAGCAACTTACCACATTACATGTAATAAACATAACATGTACCATGACTTAGCTTATTTCTGCAAACTGTTTTACGCTGCTTTAAAGAACAAGAGGCCTTAAACACATCGGGCTTTATTGCCCACCACCAAATGTGAAGGCTGAGCGATAATGACTTTTCCCATATCTGTGCGCTCGTGTGTCTTTTTGTCTTACTTCACCAAATTCTCTCATTAACCATAAGACAGATTTTTAATATATAGATAATAACCAATGAAAAATGGTTATAAATCAGTCAATTTTACAGATATTTAGATGGAATCTGTGATGCGGTAGCTGATAGTCATCCTCATCATATACCATATTTTTTGGGCTAAAAGGCGCATTAAGCGAAACTAAAACATTTTGACAGATTTTTGAGCGCCGTGTACCACGTAAAATCGGTTCAAGGTCAGTAAGCACAACTGGAATTAATACATAAGGCACACGGGATTATTAGGCTCACTGTTGATTTTTGAGACAGTTAAAGGATTTTAAGTGCGCCTTATAATCTGAAAAATACGGTACTCTGAAATCTAACAGATCTGACAACATCTCATCATATTATGAGACGTAAGGCCATTTACAAGGTTTACCAAAACATTTAAGGAAGCAACAACTAAAATACCTTTTCAGCATAAAATCAGGTGAAAACTGTCGGGTGATAAGCATTTATTAAAGGAAATCTAGGCCTTTATTTGCATTTTTTCTGTTTTTTTAAAGATGAGAAATGGCAACCACAAGGGCTTTAACAACTGTTTTTTTTTTTTTTTGTTGAAATTAAATGTGACTGGTGTCTTTTTTTTTTAAACATACCTGTCAGAAATCCAAAGAGAAGTGAAAGCAAACAGGTTGTTTTACAGTTTTACTGCCTTGTCAAATATATAAAATAAAATAATAAAAAAAAAAACACCCACTGAACCATTATAAAATATTCAGAAAGAAAAGTCAAGAGTGTCAAAAGGTGTTTGTACACTAGACCCATCAGAGTCACAGACTTTTTCGTAACGGACTTCTGACAAAGCTCTCGACAGATTTCTTACCTTCCAGTCCAGTTCCAGTTACCTTCTGCTTTGACATAATGGTGCCATCATTCATGGAACCATTTTGCTTTGTTGTGCAGATTTAAGCTGCAGTAAACCACAAGGCCTGATCAGGTCCTGTTAATATATATATATATATATATATATATATATATATATATATATATATACACATTTTTTTTAACTGCAGACTGTTCAAGTTGTAGTTGAAGTGGTCCTCTATTTTATTCAGTTTCCTCTTCAGTGAGTCTCTCATCCTGAAGACAGACTTTAGAGCTACAATCCTCCACTGCTGCCATTGACAGAAGTCCACTGGGAGGGTCAATCCAAGCAGAAACCTGCAGCAGGTGGAGCTAATGCTTTCACTGCCACACCAAGCCCACAGAGTCTGCTGAGCAGAAGGAGGATCAATACTAACAGCTGCAGTCCAAGATCCTTCAATCTAAGCTAGTCTACCAGCTGAGGGACTCGGGACTGGATGGCATCATGGCCCAGCACAAATACATCTTTTTCAGACTTCAGATATGGCAACACAGATCAAACATGAAGTAAAGGCTTAGCACAGAAACAATGCATGGCCTTTCATGGCAGATTTTTAAACTAAAACCATCTTATGATGTGGACAGTTATTCCCATTATAGACATATTGTGAATTATTAGCAGCTACTAAAAACTAAATAAATATGAAATAACTGACTGAGGTAGTGTCAATTATGATTAATGTCAAATAGCTGTCATCTTAAATATGGTTTACTTCAAAAAGTACCAGGTATATACGCACTGAATGCATGGTATATTAATTAAATTATGGACCTTTACTTTATCTGTCTTGTGGTTCATGAGATATTTTGCTAACAACTTGGCAGAGTTGATGCCAACAATTAATACCACAGTTTAGGTAAAAAATATTTCACAATGTGTGAGCCCGATTCTCACCTACTGCCACACCAATTTATAGCTCAGTATATGGAACATGTACAAAGTATATAAATAATAAGAATATATATATATATATATATATATATATATATATACATATATATTCAATTCAATTCAATTCAAAAATACTTTATTAATCCCAGAGGGAAATGATTTGTTGTTGTAACTCATTATCCTCATTTCATTGAGAGATGTTATAGATGCTGATGCTGTAGACTGGAAGGATCTCTTGTAAAGGTCCATCCCACAGTGGCTCCTAAGAAATTGGCTGCAGATGCCGTCCGATCCGTCCACCCAGACTCGACTGGCCTCTCAGTTCCCCTGGGCTGTAGGACCACCTGAATGCCGAGCAGAACTCCTCCCAGCGTGATGGCCACTCCTCCCAGCAGCCTGCTGAGCTCCTCGTCGCTGCGGACAGCCAACTGTAGGTGCTGAGGGACGATCCTGTCCTTCCGCTGTCATGAGTCGTGTTTCCTGCTAGTTCCAGGATCTCAGTGGTCAGGCTCTCGAGCACAGCTGGCGGGTAGATGAGAATGCATCCACAGAACATCCTTTTCAACTCATTTGGGATTTGAGGCTGTAGTTGAGATATTATTTGAGCTTTTGAGATGTTAATCAGCTGCTGTTGGTCATAGAAAACTGCCTTGTTGCCATGGTTACGCATCATAACAAATGTCCAAAACTACAAAAGTTTCAGTAAAAATCCTTCCAGCTGCACAGCATCCGATACCAGAGGAAACAATCATCCAAAAAAAAATGTGATTTACATCCAGAAAAAGAGGAATTAACATTTCCAAAAGCAAAATCTCAGAATGAAAGTAACAGAGCTGCTCCAACATGCAGCCACCTTGAGCGGCGCAATTCTAGAACGAAGAATATAATAAAGAATAGAATAGAATATATATATATATATATATATATATATATATATATATATATATATACATATACATACACACACACACACACACACAGAGAGAGCAAGTTGGTTGTGGTGCAGTGGCAGGGCAGCCAACTTGGAACTAGAACGTCATAGGTCCAACTCCCCCCCACGCCCACATGTTGTGGTGTCCTGCTCTCCCAAAATGCTCCCCGGGTGCTTGCATAGCTGCCTGCTGCTCCACTTGTGTGTATCTCATGTGTGATGTGTTAAATTCAGAGCACAAATTTAATCACTGTATAAAAAACATACAATGAAGACAATACAGGCACTTAGTAATTATAGTTATTATTGAATTCGGTTGACTCCAAACTTGAGCCATTTGTACAAGTACACCCTTGAAATGTTTCCAGAAAGTTTCATCAAAACTGATCAAGGTGTTCACGAGATTTTTAGCTAACAGACAGTTGAGTTTATTGCTATAGCTGACAACCTTTAAAACGGATAATCATGCTTGATCTGTTAGCTTTTAGACTCTTTTTCCAGTTCATTTATCAGTCCATCGTTGCCATTGCGGTTAATTAGTGTTCACCCATAAAAAAAATCAAAGATGTTTTATTCAATTATGCAAAAGCTGTGTAAGTCTGCATCCAGTTAAGTGTTTCATCTGTACGGCTGAATTTACTTAGTAAATACACACAAAGAAACACACATGCCCACATTGAAATAAAAAAGCCAATCACGGTAAATGGTGATTTTGTCCTGATTGTGTGAGAGGACAAAACTGTCAGGACTATTGGCCCTGTAGGGAGCACAATGAGGGCAATATAGCGTTACACATAATGTCGTCCCCCCCGCAGTGCTGCACATACTGCTTTCCACCCATGGTGCAACACGTGTCGCCTTCGCTTCACGGTGCTCCACTTATTGCCTTCTCTCTATGCTGATGCTTTTCAAACCCCACATCACTTTTCCACTGCAGGGATTTTCATCAACCTCAGGGAGCCAAAGAGCTTAAACCAGCATGTGTTGGGTCCAGTCAACAGGGTGGGGGACTAATCACTACAAACGAGCTGCTGTTATCACCAGGTGACTAGTTTCAACATGGAACAACTACTGTGACACAAGACGACAGCCAAGAAGCCTTTACTTTTATTTAATTTGAGACGTAATGGTAAATTGCAC